TTTTACTTTTTTTAATATATCAGTAATTATTTTAAATCAGAATACATATCTGGTTATTTATACTTCATAAAAAAAGTTACCCATTGGTGCAAACCATGGTGTTATGATAATAAATTTAATACCTATATATTTGGTTTACAACTAATTCCTGACTAAGCAACAGTACAATACTGCCATAAGTAGCCTTATATCTGGAGGTTTATGTCCCAGCCCCATCTAAGGAACAATATTCACATAGTGAGACTGTTTAATGGTATATACTGATATTTCGAGAAGAGAGCCTTCAATGTCTTCCTAGAAGTGAGAAACACATATGTGAGAGCATTTAATACAATAATGAGTCCTGAAACCACACTCCTAGCCAATCCAGAGCAATGCTTTCATTGGCAAAACAAAAATATGCCTACGAAATGGAACACATCAACCCAAAATACCATTGCAATGAATTTGAGCATATACCCTGGCACCATTAACAAAGTAAACATGGATTTGAAGTTAATCAAAACCACAAATTAAAAGTTGAAATAAATGATATTTTCAAAATGAAAATGACTTAAGAACAGATAAGTTTAAAATTTTAACTGCAAAATAAGTTAATGCCAACAATAAAAATATAAATTATTAAAACAATTTATGACAAGAAAGCAATATTGTACAAGATATAATATTTTTATAATTTTATCACTGACTGAAGAAGCTATTACTGTGGTTATGAATTTCTAAGTATGACCATAAATGGCCTAGTGATCATAATGCCTGGAATGTGAATCTGAGGATGTATGGTTTGTGACTGAATGATGCAATCACACAACAGTAGCCCAAAAGTGGTGGTGGATGTTTTCTCTAATTCTTTCAAATATACTCAGTTTCATATTCACATGTGAACTTGTTGTAAATTTTCATCACAGCAAAAAACACAATTGTGAGGTAAATAGTTCTGCAGTTGTGACACAATAAAATTTTAAGCTAATGAAAAAACACCAACTCACAAACAACACTTACTATTTTAATATCAAAACTTGAAACTGAATAATTACAAACAGTACATAAAACTTATATTTCACTAAACAAGAAAAAAGATGTGCATTTAATTAAAATCCAAAACTCAATGAGATATGCTCATGTATAAGACAACTGAACAGTTTGTTCTTATTAAAATATCATGGACAAACACAGTCCCAGTGATTTAAATGAACAACAACTAGAGCCAGTAATCCCCACACAATATCTAAAGTTTCAAATAGTTAGAAGAGCCGAAAGTAACATATATTCTGATTGTTTCAGCCTCATAATGATAAAAATTGAAAAACAAACTGAGAATGAATATGTTGAACTGCAAACCACAAACAGTTACCTATTGTTTACTAAATATGCGAGCAATGACTGATTTTCAATTACTTTTTTGAACCTCCAACCAATAGCATACATCATTAATGGCTTATGACACATTCTAAAGTTGCCCAAATGTCAAGGATTCTTCACTGGGTAGATCACGTAAAGTAATTTTTCTGTTTCTAAACTTATTTAAATACTGTCAGGCACATAACATTCCTTCTCTACAAATTTGCAAGATAACTATAATCCACAAATGGGTCTATACTTAGCTTTCTTAAAAGTGACTTCTCAGGGGATGAAGGAAAAAATAAGAAAAACACAATGATACAGGATGTTTCAGGTGGTGGTTATATAGGATAAACTTCATTTGCTTCTGGAAATTTGGAAACAATTCATCATGCAAGCAGTTTCAAATGCCATCTTCAAGTTAAGGTATATGGTTAAAACTTAATTAAGAAAAACAAAACATGAAACATTAAGACACTGACTTTATGCTTTGTAGGTAGCTGTGTCTGACATACAGACCATTGACAAGGCCCAATGCAAGCTTCAAGATGTTGATGTTATGGTTTGAGTGTCATTGCATCTGACATACAAACCATTGAGAAGGCCCAATGCAAGCTTTAAGATGTTAATGTTATGGTTTAAGGGTAATTGTATCAGACATACTGCCTATAATGCTCAATGCAAGCTTTAAGATGTTGATGTTATGGTTTGAGTGTCATTGGATCTGACATACAGACCATTGACAAAGCCCAATAAAAGCTTTAATTAATGTACTGATGTTATGGTTTGAGGTTAACTGTGTCTGGCACATAGACCACTGATAAGACCCAACACTAGCTGTAATTAAGATGCTGACTTTATGTTGTGAGGTTAACTGTGTTTGTCATTCAAACCATCAACAAAGCCCAATGCAAGCTTTAAACTGCTGACATTATGGTTTGAGGTTAACTGTGTCTGGCACATAGACCACTGATAAGACCCAACACTAGCTTTAATTAAGATGCTGACTTTATGTTGTGAGGTTAACTGTGTTTGTCATTCAAACCATCAACAAAGCCCAATGCAAGCTTTAAAATGCTGACATTATGGTTTGAGGATAACTGTGCCTGATATACATGATACTGAAAAGGCCCAATAAAAGCTTTAATATGCTAACATTACAGTTTGGCATTCTGATGAGGGGTGTGTATAGGCTGGCCACACCCTAAGCTAGACCTGTCAATGATAAGGTATATCAGATTATGTTTTATCAACAAAAAATAAAAGATAGAGACCCATATATAAAAATGAAGAAAAGAATCAGGAAAGAAAACACTCAGTTCAGAGCTTTTTCCCTGAACATTTCAAAGTAAACGACTAGAAATATAACAACAATTACTGAACAGTTGAGCAAGTTCTGTTAACTGGTCACCACATAATAAATATTTTGTAAGTTTCCTCAGTGTTAAATTCAAAACAAAAAATGCTGTGACTTCATTAAACATACCATTATGACAAATATTGGTTTTTTACTTGGAATACAGTATTTGGCCTTCTCCAATCAGTTTGGACCCTCCGTATTTATCTTTACTCATTCAAGCTCTATATCACAATTTTGCCCTCAACATAGAAGATGAGTCATTATTTGCGTGATTAACTTTTCTTTCTTCAGTAAAATAATAATTTTGGCTAAAGTATCTGAACTGTCTAATGACGAGGTTAATTCTACAAAAAGCTAACAACCAAATATCCACTCAGAGAAAATATTTTAGACCAACTTAATATCCCAATTCAAAGTATAGGTTTGTATCTTAAACCATTTACAAATGAACTTAAACACTGCAACAATCATATTACAATATCATCACAATATAATAACTTCACTGTGCAGTATCCACCAAAAACTTTGTAATTTAAAATGGTTTTGAAATGCCAGAAATTAAGCTTCTCAGCATTTATATTATAACATGGTAACACTTACTACAGTGCTTTAAATTATTATTATTAAACAAAATGACTGGACAATCACACCACATCAATGTTTGTACAACATGTAAAATGCAACAATACTATCTTTATTTTAAAGTCATAACATACCATCAAATATATAAACTTTTTCATAACATCAAACATTATTAAAACATAAAAATCAGAAAAAATTATATATTTTTTGGCATTGCTATTACTTATGTAGCTGATCTTATAAAATGTAATTTTTCAAACTTTAGAGGACACTACAACCAGTTATATGACAGAATAAATTATGGATTCATTTTTCAGTTCACAATGTGATAGCTCACACAAGGCTTTTTTTCACTCAGTGAATAGTACACAGACATTAACTGTATGGCATTACAATTGCACTGCTTCTTTTATCAAGCAAGATTTACATAAGCATCAACATAAAACAATAATGATAATACAAATGACTCATTAATGCAACAATTTTTGTGATATTTTATTTATGCATTGGTCTTCTATTTAAATAGGAAAATGATACATAAAAAATGAATTTCCATTCAGAAGAAAAGCTTTTCAGTCTTGTTGAAATTCAGTTTAAAATGTCATAAATTCCCATATATATTCAACTCTTCCAGTTTATGAAAGATATATAACAAATAACTGGATAAAAAAATAATTTAACAATGTAGCAATTGAAAAATGATTTCAAAGAGTGGGAATGAAAAAGTCTTGAATATCAAACCAACCAATGGTACATATACTTCAATGGTATTTTAAACACCACAGAATACATTCCTACATTTAACCATTTCTTAACATGATATTTATGAAAGGTTCATCTGTTACGTTAACATTATAATTCTCTTCTTCACAGATTTTTACAAGATAAAGATTAAGACTATGGCATACTGATTAGCACATAAGTTTAGTTAGCTTAAATCATATGTTATTTATAAAATATTCAATGGCTTATGTTTTTGAGCATATTTTGTCTAGTTATGTAAAAGATACATAAATGAAAAACTAAGTAACCCGAGTGCTTTTGAAAGATAGACCTGTCTTTTTCTGCAGAAAAGTCATCTACCTTCTGATAAAACTCAGTGGTTTCTTAGTTATCATAAATGTTAAAGACCTAAAAACCATCTATTTTATTCTCAAGTCATATCGAAAATAATCTATGATAGTTTTCCTATTATCTCCAAAAGTTTAGTAAATTTATAAATGCTAAATCAATAGAAAAAGTCTTTTAACTAAGACATTTCGGCAAAGTAGACATTTTTAAAAGTAGAAATTCCTTTATAGGGTATTAAAACTGTCTAGTGATGAGCAATTGAAATCCTTTAAATGCCATGTGAGAGAATGAAACAAACACAATATTGTTATCAGATCTGTCTGAGAATAATATATCTAATAATTTCCTACAATTGGTTTGATACAAAAGCAACAGATGAAATAACAGGAAGTCTCACTTTTTGTTTATATGTTTCCACAGAACCTCCAAGAAATGTTTTGCCATATTATCTTTTAATACTGTACATACAAACTTGGACAGATACTATCATTTCGGTAACTGCAAAATGTATATATCCATTACAAATTTGTTACTTTATTATTATTTTCACTCAGTCTTATTTTAAGTTTTAGAGAAAATTTTAAATGATTTACTCACAAAATTAGTTTACAATATATGTATAAAACGAAATACTTAAAATTACTATAACATTTGAAAATGTTATTTTTACATAAAAAAAAATATACTGAAAATGTTCTTTTCTAAATGTTTATGTTAGAATCAATAATAGCCAATGAGGAACATTACATCTTTAGTGTTCTCAGGAGGTCAAATCAACTTTAAATCTGTACCTACAGGTGTTAAGTGATAGAGTTAGAATTTATGTTGTAGCATATTAAACCAAGACATTCAAGCAACAACTCATGAACTTGACCTCAATAGTTATCATTTTAATATAATTCTATCCTTTTCCTTCATTAATTGTTGAACAACTGAAGATCAAACTTTAAAACAACTTCTCCTGTTTCAACTTCATACAACAGCAAACGTTGTGTGACTGGTCCCATTGTTTCTTTGGTGTACTTGTGTATCTCCGCAACTCTGATCTCAGTTCTACCAAGGAAGTCTTAAAACAAAAGAAAATGGGTGATACTGACTGAAAGTCACAAATTACATTTTATTTAACCAAAACACAACAGCTTTCAACTTTTCTGTAAAAACTACATGTAATTAAATCATGTTAAGGCATAAAATAGCTATCAGTAGAAGTGAGAAAGTATTTTAGGACTAACGCACATGATAAATTATTATACTTCCTTATAGACGTTTCTTATCACATTCTTCTTAGTAAGAACAATTTTATTAATCCAGAAAGTGTTTTGCTTCATTATTATGTAACAACAGGAGAAAGATGTGTTCCATAAAATATTAAACATATTTGTATACTATCTGAATGGTGTTTTGAGTTGCCATTTACACATCACTGTGAAATTGTATTTATTTTTGATTTGAAAAGTGGTGAACTGATTAACAGATTGGGCTTTATTTTTAACATTGGATATGTTAGGTAGCTAGATATCTTCAGTATTTCTTCTGGTATAAAAAAAGAGCAGAAATTTGAGTGGATTAACATGATTGTGCGTGTAAAATAATGACAGCTGACAGAACTAGAAACTGTAGTCTTCATGAGATCCAAAATAATGTTTCATATTTAGTAGAGTTAGCCTAGTTCTTGTAGCTGCATGGTGGTACATCAAACCACTTGCTAGTTCAACAATAGTACTTAGTCTATTTTCATTTCAAATCAGAAGTGCCAAGTTAACTCATTAACTGCGGCACGAGCAGCTCAGTTACCATTTTCTGACTCACAGATAAAACTGAGTTGCCATCAATCACACTAAAATGGTAATTATCGTCATTTGCATAGAATTATAGTTATATATGTGCGACTGACGGATATTTCCGTCATTTCCAGCTGAGTCATAGAACTTCGATGACAGAAATATCTGTCATCCGCAGTTAATGGGTTAACAGTTCACTTTTTTTTTGTTTGCTACAAATCACTGCATTGAGAAATCATTGGATTAATACTCTGGTAATATAACTTATTGACTAGACTGGACCTATTACAGCTAAAGGTATATTAGTATTTCAGGGGCTAAAAAATGGGATACATTTTCAGTTTCTTTGTTAAAAAACTATACATCCAGTTGGAGACTTTACAGTATAAGCATTCTTTAATCAGTAAATAATTTTAATAAATATTTGATAATTTTTTAATTGCAATATTTTCTTTAGTTTTGTTTTCTTTCAATAACACATTTACTTTCAATACCATGAAATCTTCTTTATAGAAATTCTGTCTCAACCATAAACATTCTGCAGTATTACAATACATTGGTGATCAACTTAACTAATGTAAATAATATATTAAGCTGATGTACTCATGTTTGTGTAAACATGAGGATGGTTAGAAATTAGGAAGCGTCCAACATACACTTTCACAAATTGATCAACAGTGTTGAAACATACATCACGTAATACATTGTACAAGAAAAGTTGATCAAAATGTACAGTAGCATAAATGGTGCTAATTGTGAGTAACAGACAAAATATGAAAAACTTCTATAATAATAATAAAAATGGTGCATGTGAAATAATTATAAATGCACTGTACCATTTGGAGAAAACAGATCTCTATCAAAAACTGTTATACACAATACATCTTGCTTCAGGTCTTTCACAAGAAACTGCATGGAGGAGTTCCACTTTGGATTGATCGAATTTGACACAACTTTAGTTTTGTGTACCTGGGAGCCCATACTGACTTCACAATATGGGTCACTCTGTCCTGGAACCACCAAAAGGTTGTATTATTCATTACTTAACTGAGTAGCATATGGTAGCCAAATATTAATACATATAAAAATCGTTAGTATTAACAGTATATATTAAGCTTAATTCAAAATACAGGTTATGTCAAAACAAATAACTATACAGCTTATTCAGATAAAACATAAAAATATAGCTATATTATGTACATATAGGTATCAGTTTCAATAACCATTATTGTGAGCACAGAGTTTACATTAGATACATATTATCATGTAGGTTATGGTACATATAGAAAAAATTATTGAAGACTTATGTTAAACACACATTCAAAAGGATATTACGATACTTATATGAAAACATACAGGTTAAGTTAGATGTTTATAAGCATGGAGGTTATATTGCATACAGCAATTGAAATAAGTTAATAATATGGGTATTATGGGATTGCTTTCCTTATACTGTGTGAAAATGAATTTCACTGCAGTATGGTCATCAACCAAATCAGACAGTGTCACATCAGTTTAATGCCTATAAGAGTAAAGGCAGTCATACTATTCTCAGCAGTAGTGTGGTTATGCACTTATGATTCTTTGGACAGAAATACCACAAGACAAATAAGCAAAAACCAGAGTTTGGCTGGTGATGAGTACTTCATGCAACAGTTTGAGTTCAAATTTCATGTTTCAGAAGGGTCTGTATGGAAACTGTGAAGAGGATCCGTGAAATTAGTACTGTTGATAACAGAAGCAAATGGGGTAGAAAGTCCAGACTCTCTGAAATTTATCTTAAGTAATTCAGAATATGCTTTTTACATGATAAACAACAACTAAGTAAAGGTCTTGTTAATGAGTTAGCTGTAAGAACAGGTGTAAATATTACCTCCAGAATAGTATGATACACATTAGCACAAAGAGATTTTAATTTAGAGCTGGATGATCAATAGACATAATCAATTACCTATGAACATTAGCACCAACTTTTCCCAAATTATTGATACAGCCTGCAGCACTCCATACCCATATAAAAAATTCAAACAAAATCGTATCTTCATACTCATGTCATGCTTATTATATTTTAATCTTGTTGTACATCTTCAAGGTGCTCAGCAGCACTCACATCAATAAATTTTGGGGGTGTTCAAGCAACCATACCTTCCACAGAACTGGTAACGGAGCAACAATTACATTATTTAGTATCAAGTAAAATAATTGAAATTATGATTAAATCGATTAATGTTACAAAAATAATCAACTAGTATTTCTAATTATCACTAGGGGTGCATATATCATCATAGTAGTCGATACGATATGTATCCAGATACCTTAAATACACACAAGTTTTACCAATGGTTTGTTACAAAGTTTGACAGTCTTGTCTGTAATTTATTATCTATATTATTAACATTGCATTATTTAAGTACTTTACAGTGCATTTTCAAATTCTCAAGTTTGATCAACTAAATTGCAACTGGTAAGAGAAGTAAAATAAAAAGTTAATATCTCACCATCTATGTTGTTATTGTTAATTTGTTATGTTACTTTGCATGTAATGTTTTTGATAAAAGAAATGAAGATAATATGTAGTACTCAATAATCATTTTCCTTTACTGAATAATTAATTTTTAGCAGAAATACTTTATTAGAAATTCTGATGTTATAATGTTTACTTAAAGCTTGCCAAATTTCGTGAAGATACATAAGCCATATCGTATCAGATGATGTAGTGATACAATTGTATTACGGCTTCATGATATGATACTCATATTGTATCACTGTATTGCCACGCCTTTAATTATTACTATTTTGATTATTCTAACTAATCAGTAATCAAATTTATAGATAAATTAATTTATGTAATGAAAACAATCAAATAATCAAAATTATGATTAAATCAACTAATGTTATGAAATAAGTAACTAATCAAAATTAGTGTTTCTGATCATTACTGTTTTCGATTATTGGCTAGTTGGAATAATCAAAAACAGTAATGATATTATTATTATTTTTAATTAATTAAAGTTTGTTCAGCTTAATCAATTAGTGTCAGAACTTGTGAAAATAATCAACTAATCAAAATAGGGGTTTCAGGTTATTATAACTATCCAAGTAACTGATATATTGCCATTTTGTTTGTGTTGTTAAACAAACAGCTAAACAAAGAGTTAATTGTGTTTTGTATATTGTGTTTATTGAAACCAAATTTGTAGAATTATTTTTTTTTCCTTTTTAAAGTTATGTAGGAGTAGCTTAAAATTTTGTTTTATACATCTACTGAGAATAGTTGATTACTTGAATATAATTGGATAGTGAGCTCAATGATTAATTCATTACCAAATTCCACTAATATCATATTCTATTTGAATGGTTGTATACCTGCTCCACAACCACTGCTTATGAGAGATAACTCAAAGGGAAAGGCTGAACTGGGCATCAGGCTTTAAAGAATTGGATGAGAAAAGATCTAGGAGGTTGCTCTTTACAGATAAATTCAAGTTGCCTAGCAACAGTCAATGATAGTTTATATAATGGTAGAGAGGAGAACAGTATCAAAGTCAGTCTGAACCATGTACAGTGAAACAAGCAAGGGGACCAGTACAAGTGTAGGTTGCATCTACACAAAATTTATGGTACCCCAATTACTGACAGGACAGAACAAAGCAAAACATGAGGGATTTTATCATTTGCTTTGTTCTAAATGTAAATACTGTCACTCTAATTTTTTTCCTATACCAATTAGCGATTTTACCTGAATAAAAGGACTAGCTCAAAACTGTATATCAACTTTATGGAAATACAACTATTTTCATTTTTGCTATCTTTCTGGTGAATATTTTCAACAAATTTGTCCAAGTCATATTATTTTTACCATGGTTATTACCCGAATATTTTCAACAAGTTCATCCAAGTCTTATTATTTTCACCATGGTTATTATCTGAATATTTTCATCAAGTTCATCCAAGTCTTATTATTTTTGTACCTTTATTTGACTTGTTTTGAATATATTATTCTAAAACAAGTGGATTGTGTGCTGTTTGTATATTGTTCAAATTTATGGCCAACAAATCACAGACACCTACTGTAAAGAATCCAGCTCCATAAAACTTACAGAAATCAATGTGATATAGTTAAATGGAAGGACATTCCAGATTGTAATTGAGATAATGGAACTAGTGATTCTTCTTATCAGCAAAACATAGATACACCTTAGTTTGTTATAAGTAACAGATGTTTATGAAACCAGAGATATATCTAGCAGGCATATGAGAAATATTGCACATGATGGTGATAGGAGTTCAGTGTTATAAAAAATTAAGGAATTCCCCACATGAAGCAACAACTGGAGGAATAAAAAAGGAATACATATCAGCCAGAAGTGAAGCAGCTTTCTATACAAAAGTTAAATGGCCCAGTTCTGTTCTCTACATATGTACTAGTGAGCCACTACAAAGAAATAAGCAGATAATATCAAGACAGCCTATCAGTAACTGAGTGATACTTATAGTTGTGATGACAGATAACCAAATTAACCAATCAAAAACCAAGAATCACATGTGATAGTTATGATTTTGAAATGTGATCAAATTTTCTAAAACAGCACAAGTAGTAAATTTAAAGCACATAAACTGATTTTTTTGGCAATTATTGATCTTCTTCCAGACATTACTCCTCAGTGGATTCTCCAGATCATCACCTTCCAACTAGAGTCCATATTCTACCATGGCTTTATTGCAATCAACTGAGAACATTCATTGCATTAACTCCTTGTAAGATGAATTGCTATCCCTAGTCTAGTCTCATTACATAGTTAGACAAGTATGTATCATGAATGAAATTGCACTAATGATGGAAATAAGATTTAATAAGATTGACAGAAGATATAATAGGAATGTTGAGATGTTTAGTATAAGACTTGTTATTTGAATATTTCTTAAAGAGTGTAGGTATGACCAAGAGTTTAAGCAGAATCCAGTTAATTGATAACTTGTTAGCTATAATTGATATATTAATGCAGACATTGGAGAGTTTAATAAATGATCATGCAGTTGTAGAAGAAAACAGTTTTGAAATCAATGTAGACAACTTCCTGAATTCATTCAATTTGGTGTATTATGTTTTGTGCTACCTAGTCTCTGAGTGAATTTCTTTATTCTGAATGTAAATGGGATGGCCTGTACTACACTTCCAGCTAATACATCAGCCCTTTTTCCTGTTGAGTGATTCATCCATTTGATCTCATACCAATTGGATTACACCCAATGGGGAACTCTCCATATCTACCTCTCCAATGTCTTGGGACTGGGGAAGCAAGGATTCTCTCATACTGCACTAGAAGAAAATTGGAAAGAGGAATTCACTTGTTGGAAAGGTGCTCAGAGAGAATAGGAAACATCACATTTGCACACAGTAATGAGTTGTATAATGGGTTACTACAACCAAGGACAGCAGTCACTAGCCAGGTATAAAGGCAGGCACATACCAGATGCTGTCATTTTTTTTCCACCTAAAATATGGCCTTTGTGATATATATATATGTACATATATTCTGTGGGAGTATTATGAAGCAAGGACATTTAGATTGAACATTTCCTGAACTCCCCTGATCAATGTGGATTTTGGAGGAAAAAAAGTATATATACCCTGTGAGAAATGACCAACCACTATATCGGTCCCATCATTTCCAGTTCATATACATCAATACATAACAATGAATACAAAGGAGCTATTAAAAAAGTAAAAAATAAATTATCAATACTCACCTCACTAGACTTTGGAAAGATTTTAGAACGGTGACCTAAAGGAGTTGAAACCCAGATACAGACAAAACCACCAAGTGATGTAACAGGACACAAATGCATCAGGGTTTGTCCAAAGTATGTTGACAATGAAAGAAGAGAGAAGCTGTGCGATGATGAACCTGATGGGAGGTTATCTGATAATTTGGACAAATCCAACCAGTTAAATTAAAAGGTGGTAAGTCCCAAGTAGAAGAGGAATCTTATGCCAAGAAAAGATGAT